AAATATTTTTTAAAAGATCCAATTAAGTGTGGATTTCTTAAAAAATATTTGTTTCAAAAACCCAATTTAAGCTTGGATTAAAAAAAATTCTTAAAGACCCAATTAACCGTGATTTTTTTTGAAAAATATTTTTTTAAGGACCCAATGTAGCGTGTATTTTTTAAAATATATTTCTTTAGGAGCCCAAATCAACGTGGATTTTTAAAAAAAATATTTTTTAAGGACACAATAAGGCGAGGATTTTTTTAAAAAATATTTTTTCAAGGACACAAATTAAGCGGGGATTTTTTAAAAATATTTTTTCAAGAAACCAATTAAGCCATGATTTTTTTAAAAATATTTTTTTCAAAAACCCAATTAAGCTTGGATTTGAAAAAAAAAATCTTAAAGACTCAATTAACCGTGAATTTTTTTGAAAAATATTTTTTAAGGACCCAATGAAGCGTGGTTTTTAAATATATTTCTTTATGGGCCCACTTAAACGTGGATTTTTTAAAAAATATTTTTTCAAGTACACAATTAAGCGAGGATTTTTTAAAAAATATTTTTCAAGGACACAATTAAGCGAGGATTTTTAAAAAAATATTTTTTTGAAGGACCCAAATATTCGTGGATTTTTTAAAAATATTTTTTTCAAGGACACAATTAAACGAGGATTTTTAAAAAAAAAATATTTTTTTGAAGGATCCAAATATTCGTGGATTTTTTAAAAATATTTTTTTCAAGGACACAATTAAGCGAGGATTTTTAAAAAAAATATTTTTTTAAAGGACCCAAATATTCTTGGATTTTTTTAAAAATATTTTTTCAGAGATTCTTATATCCGTGGATTTTTAAAAAAAGATTTTCAAGTATTGTAATTTGATGTACTTGCTTCTTGACTGAATCCGGTCGGATGTGCCAAAATTCAGGTCATTTGGACCGATATTGGTCATTTGGTGCACAGTTAACCCGAAATCGGTTGAAGATATATGTGTGAGCTATATCTAAATCTCAACCGATCTTGACAAAATATGATACACTTATTTCAGAGCTTAATGCGAAATCTGGTACCAAAGATCATTGTTGTGGGATACATAATTCGCTTTTGAGGGACTTTAAACCCCAAATCGGATGAATAAATGCCAAAATTCAGTCCATTAAACTTGATATCAGATATATATAGGAGCTATATCCTAATCTAAGCCGATCTCGACAAAATTTGACAGGGGTATTTTCGAGCAGTATCTGATGTCCGGTATCAAATATCATTCTTTTGGAGTGCAACTACGCATGTGAGGGACTTAAAACCCCAAATCGGATGTAAACTATATATGGGAGATATAGCTATATTTGAACCGATTTTTACCAAATTTGATTTACTTGCTTCTAGACTGAATTCGGTCGGATGTGCCAAAATACAGGCCATTTGAACTTAGATTTGCCATTTGGTACATAATTAACCCGAAATCGGTTGAAGACATATGTTAGCTATATCTAAATCTGATCCGATTATCACCAATTTCAATAGGTTCGCCCTTATGCCAAAAAAATAATTTTTTTGCAAAATTTTATCTCAATCGGATAATAAATGCGACCTGCATTTTGTTCACAAGAATACATGGACGGACGGACTGACTGACATGTGTAAATCGACTCGACTCTTCAGGATACAAACTAATGCACAAAGACATAATACCCCTACCGCTATGTGGTGTAGGGTATAAAAATTCAGGAATCAGGTTAATAGGAATCTATAAAATTTTTATTTTTTTTAATGAATTATTTTAAAAAAAAATTTATTTATCAAATTTATCAAACTCATAATATCCCCAGATAGTAGTGTTGTAGAGTATAAGAATATTTTCTTTATTATAATAAAAAATATTTAAAATATTTTTATTATAAAAAAAAATATTTTTATACAAAAAAATATTTGTTTTTCAATTTGTTACTAAACGTTATTAACAAACAAGTAATCAAGAATAAAAAAAAATAATTCTAACAAAAAAAAAAATAGTTTGAATTATTAAAAAATTAATTTTAATAAGATTTAAAAAATATATATTTATATATAAAGAAAAATATAAAAAACCTTAAAAATTAAAAAAAAAAACATTATTTTCGCATATTTTTTGGTCTAATATTATTGGATATACACAGTTGTAGATTATTATTTTTATTTCTTATTTAAGTTTCTTACATTTTTTTCCAAATTTTATTAGTTTCAAATTGTAAGTTCTTTTTTTCGTTATGTTTTATATCTCTCTTTTAATATTTTTTTTAATTTTTAATTATAGTTTATGTTAATAGTCTTGTCGTTAAATTGTTTTTGTTGGTTTATTAGTTTTTAGCTAACTAAAGAATTTATTGTAGGTTTGCTTAATTCGATTTGTTAAATATTTACAGAAAAAATCATTAGGTTTTTATTTACAGGTTACATTTATTTATTATTATATTTTTTATTATTATTATCAATTTTATTATTATTATTATATATAATTTTTTAATTTTAGCAAAAGCTCCTTTGTTGTTGTGTTATTTCCTTTTGACATTTTTAGTTCTTCCTTAAAACATTTATTTATATTTTTTAGTATTTGTTTGTAATAGTTCTGTTTTTCTGTTTCTTGTTGTTGTTGTTCTTCTTTCCATTTAAATGCTATTGTTTTATCCTCAATATATGTATAAATTTCCGTTAATATGCTACAGTTTTATAATTTTGTTTATATTAATTTTTGGGTCTTCATATCTTGTTGTTGCTATTTTTGTTTTATTTTTTTTTTTTTTCTTGTTTTTAATTTTCTATTGGAAGTCTTTGTTTGGTTAGTCAAATTGTTTTTGTTCGTTTGGGCTGGTTTTTATTTGTGGTTGAAAAATTTTACGATAAACTAAAGGAGGGTTTAATTAGATTTTGAGAATGCGATTTTTCACACCAAGGAGAATATAAAACTGTCAAGGCAAAGAGAAAGATGGAGAGTGAGAGAGAGGAATATCGTAGACTTCCATTGAAATTGAGGTTAGGTGGAACACTATTAAATAAATCCTGAAAAATGCCAAAGTTCGCAGAGCCTCTCCCAATTTTTTAATAGACCAAAAATGGAGAGATATTTGAGAGGATTTTTGAGGGTATTTTCTTAAGGACGATTTAAATTTGATTAAATTCTTAAATAAGCGTGGAGTTCTAAAAAATATTTTTAGGACCCAAATTAAAATATTTTAAAAATATTTTTTAAAATTAAATATTTTTTTTTAAATATTTAAAAATATTGTTTCAAGGTCTTAAACATGCGTGGTTATTTAAACAAATATTTTTAAGGACCCAAATAAGCGTAGATCTCTTAAAAACATTTTTTCAAATACCCAACTAAGCGTGGATTATTTTAAAAAATATTTTTTTCAAGGACCCGATTAAAAGTAAATTTTTAAAAAAAAAAAAATTTACGTGGACTCTATTACGCGTGGATTTTTTTAAAAAAATATTTTTTTCAAGGACATAATAAGGCGTGGATTTATTAAAAAAATATTTTTTTCAAGGACATAATTAAGCGAGGATTTATTAAAAAAAATTTTTCAAAGACCCAATTAAGCGTGGATTTATTAAAAAAAAATTTTCAAAGACCCAATTAAGCGTGGATGTTTTAAAAAATATTTTTTTCATGGACCTTATTAAGCGTGGATTTAAAAAAATATATATTTTTATCAAGGACCCAATTAAGCGTGGAATTTTTGAAAAATATTTTTTCAAGGACCCAATTAAGAGTGGATTTTTTGAAAAATATTTTTTTCAATGACTTAATTAAGCGCGGCTTTTTAAAAAATATTTTTTCAAATACCCAAATATGCGTGGGTTAAAAAAGTATTTTTTCAAATATGCGTGGATTTTCATAAAAATTATTTTTTTTAAATATGCGTTGATTTTTCTAAAAAATATTTTTTTCAAATATGAGTGGATTTTTCTAAAAAATATTTTTTTTTCAAGGACAGAATCAGGCGTGGAATTTTCGAGAACAGAATTATACGTGGATTTTTAAAAAAAATATTTTTTAAAACCTAAAATTTGCCTGAATTCTTTAAAATAATATTTTTTAAGACCTATAATTTGCGTAGATTTTGAAAAAATATTTTTTAAAACCTAAAATTTTGCGTGAATTTTTTCAAAAAATATTTTTTAAAACCTAAAATTTGCCTGAATTTTTTAAAATAATATTTTTAAGACCTATAATTTGCGTGAATTTAAAAAAAAATATTTTTTAAGACCTAAAATTTGCGTGGATTTTGAAAAAATATTTTTTAAGACCTAAAATTTGCATGGATTTTTAATAAAAATATTTTTTAAGATCTAAAATTTGCATGGATTTAAAAAAAAATATTTTTTAGAGATCCAAATATCCGTGGATTTAAAAAATAATTTTTCGAAGATCCAAATATCCGTGGATTTAGAAAAAATATATTCTTTAGAGACCCAAAAATCCGTGGCTTTAAAAAAATATATTTTTTAAAGATCTAAATAGCCGTGGCTTTAAAAGAAATATATTTTTTAGAGACCCAAAATCCGTGGCTTTAAAAAATATTTTTTTCAGAAATTCAAATAAGAAAGGATTTAAAAAAATATATTATATTAAGGCTTTAAATATGCGTAGATAATTGAAGAATATTTGCTCTGTGACCTAAATGAGCGTATATTTTTTTTTCAATATCTGTGAATTTTTATAAAAATATTTTTTTAGAGACCCAAATGTTAGCGTATTTTAAAAAAAATATTTTTGCACAGACACAAATATCCGTTGATTTTTTAAAAAATATTTTTTCAAAGATCCAAATATCTGTGGATTTTTAAAAAATATTTTACAAGGATCCAAATATGTGTGTATTTAAAAAAAACAAAATTATTTGAGTACCCATTTATGCGTGGAGTTTTAATAAAATATTTTTCTGAGAACCCAATATTTAAATATTTTTTTTCAGTAACCAAGGATAAAAAAATCTTTAATTTTTAAAAACAAATATTTTTTCAAGGGTCGATGAGGTATGACATTAAATAAAAAATATTTTTTTCGGGGACGAAAAAAGCTTCCATTTAAAAAAGTCCTAAAGTATCCTCTTAGGATGGAATTTTAAAGAATATTTTTCTTATTCCTTAAAAAACATAAAAACGCTGTTCTTTACTCTCTATCTCCCACTCTATTACTGTCTCTGTTCCACTCTCTCCTCTCCTTCATAATTATACCCCCTTTTGTGTGCTGAAATTTCGATATTCTCAAAACCCTAACTGGTCATCACACTACCCTAAACTACTTTTCTAACTTAAGGTCGATCCAATTTAATTCAAAACTTTTTTACCAAAAGGAAAATTGGATAAAATAAACCACTCATTTTCTTCATCACTGTACAAATACAAAAATATAAAAAAATATATGTATAGGTAAGTGTGTGTGTTTGTTTGTTTGTTTGATTTTTTCTTAGACAATTGTGGTCCGTTCCGCTGACGTTGTACACGTACTACTCCCACCAATACACACCAACTGACATTTAATGTCATCTTTGGGTAATTCTCAGGAAGATATTGTCTCATAATTCCCTGTTGTGCCCAAGAGAGTGCTGGTCGCCAGCAATGGCGATTGAGTTGTCGCTGTCGCCGAACCACCGAATGCCGAATGGGTGCGCGGTGATGTCAGTAGCGACTGTGTTGCACCAATTGTTATATTCCCCGAGGTCAGCGATGAGGTCAGCGCTGTGGGTATGGAATTTTGTTGCTGCCCATGATGATGTTGCTGTAGCTGACCATTGTGATGGGGATGGGGCAGGGTACTGCAATTGCCGGACTGTGATAGGGAAAGGCTGCCCACCAGACCACTGCTGCTGCTATTACCGCCAGCGGTGCCCGCACTGCTGTTCGTTTGCAGTGAACCATTCGATTGGCCACCCAGAAGTGGCATGGTACAGGTTGTTGTCGAGCCGTAGGGGGATGTGGGTGATGTGCGTGTCTCATAAGCTGGCAGATAGGAGCGTCCCGGTATGCGTGTATAAATATTAGGTGGTGTCCTGGTCGACAGTAGAGGTGGTGGGGCTGTGTAAACGGGCCTCTGGGTAGCCGGTGCCCGTTGTGGGGTGTTGTAAAGACTAAAGGCTGGATTTGTTGTCAACGATAGTTCGCCATACTGTAATGAGAATTAAGAGAGAAAGGGAAAAAGTGGAAATTAATTTAAATAGAATTCATTATAATTTGTTGTTTGATAAAAAAAATAGAAAGAAAAAGTTTTGAACAAAAAAGGGAAATAATATTGCCTAAAGGGTTAGCAAATGGGGAAATAAGAGAATATTGTCTATTAAAAAAAAAGGTTTATTTAAATTCAAATATATTAATAAATAACTCTGTTGTGGATCCGATCTAGCTCAGAGGTCTTCTATAGATTTCTGTAGTGTTAAGGGTTTTTTCTAAATCGGGAGTTTTTCTGAGTACAAAATGATTATCTGAACGATGCTCATGGACAATTTCAAGTTCTCATTGAAACCGAAATTACTCTAAGTAATTTATTATATCTGAAATATATATTGCTCTCCAACCATGGATAAATTCAGGATATTATTGGAAGCGAACATTCTCTAAGAAATTTATAATTTTTTGAAGTATAGATGGCGTTCCTAGTTTCAACCATTTGGTTCTCTCTAAAGATTTCTATAGGTTCTTCCCATGATTTTATTTCCATTTCTCTTTCAATATAACCCATTTGATAACCTTTTATATTATCTCTTTCACACACACTTGTTTTTCCGTCGTTTGTTTGCCAATTCGAAAATGGCTTATCAAGGGATAACGGCAATACAATAGCAAAAAATACAAAAAATAAAAAACAACTCCACGAGATGGACAACTTATTTCATTGTGGACACTAGAGGCCCAAAAGTATGCTAGAAAAAATATGTAATTAATTTCTCGTTTTTAATTGGAAAACTTTTATTAACAAACAAATGAAGTTAGCCGGAATCAATTATCACGTTGTTATGGGTACATGATTTTTTCTATAGAGTGAAGGATGGCAATAGTTCGCTAAAGTTTTTTACGCTGGAATTTGACTTAAGTGCAGAGGCAAATAATTGTGATGAAGAGCAAATAGAGAGAAAATATTTTTTTGTTAATTCGAAGGGGAAAGGGAAAATTGTTGTTGAAGTCCTCATAGATAAAATTAATTAAGTATAACATGGGCCAGATGCCATTAACTGGTATAAACAATAAACTTACAACATAGATGGGATTCCTCGAAAAAGACTATTTCATACTACGTTGTATAGGGCGCCATCTATATTTCATTTAAATATCTGCTATTCATTCATTCTTTATACCATTGATCATCAAAAAATTTGAATAAAAAATGTTTTTTAGGCCTTCAAACCTATCTTATCTGGGAGTTATATATCTAGAGTTATTATGGCGCCCAAGAGAAATGTATCGAGTGAAAAATAGATGGAGTTCTACATAACATATCATACGAGAATCTATCGTATATATCTTCTACTTTTAGGAAAATGATAAAAGCAATTCTGTTAAAGACCTCAGACTTACTATAATATAATGCCTCATAGCCATACTTGCGGCCAAAGATATGTACTATGAATGAGGAATCAACCTCAAATATAGATGGCATCCCGCTCTAAAAGGAACATATATCAGTCAGTCAAGGATTATATATCATCAGTTCTCAAAAAAAACTGTTGGCAGAACATGCTTTCTAATCCCTTATTTTCATTATTCACTAGAGTTATTTTGGCGCCCAAGAGAAATGTTTCAACTGAAAAATAGGTGGCATTCCATATACTCAACAATCTTTCGCATATATCTTCTACTTCTAGAAAAATAAAAAAAGAGAGTGTATGTTAAAGACCTCACACTTATCATCCCATAGCCATAATGGCGTCAGGTCTCAAAAAATTGTTGATAGAAAATGCTTTCTAAGCTTTTTATATTCATTATTGACTAGAGTTATTATATCGCACAAGAGAAATGTTCAACTGAAAATAGGTGGAGTTTCACATGATATATGATATAAGAATCTTTCCCATATATCTTCTACTACTAGTACATCTGGAAAAATGACTACAAATTCTGTTAAAGACTCCACACTTATAATTTCATAGCCATAATGACGCCCAACAGTATGCGCTATGAAAGAATGAGGAACTAATTTTAAATATAGATGGCATACCGCGCTAAAAATAGTATATATTTTAAACGAGACCTTTTAGCGTCGGTTCTCGAAAAATTTGTTGGCAGAAAATGATTTCTAATCCTTCATATTCATTATTTATTAGAGTTATAAGGGCGCCCGAGGGAAACGTTTCAATTGAAAATTAGGTGGCGTTCCATATAACATATGATACGAGAATCTCTCGTATACTTCTAGAAAAATGAGGTAGAAAATTCTGTTAAAGACCTTACAGTACTCAAAACAATTGTAGATATAGAATGTTTTTCAAGCCTTTATATTCATTATTAACTAGAGTTATTGTGGCGCCCAAGAGAAATGTTTCAACTGAAAAATAGGTGGCGTTTCACATAACATGTTGTACAAGGATATTTCCCATATATCTCCTACTTCTAGAAAAATGTGTACAAATTCTGTTAAAGACCTCTCACTTATTATTCCATAGCCATAATGCCGCCCAATGGTATGCACTATAAAAGAATGAGCAATTAACTTTAAATATAGATGGCATTCTGTGTCAAAAGGAGTACACACATATTTTAAACGTGACTTTCTATGCTAGAAAAAATTATACTTCTCTTAAAAAATCTTAGCTCCGAAAGCACCACGGGAGGACATAATCACATGGTCAATTTTTAAATAACCTTCAAACTTATTATGCTCAAGTAAATTGAAGTTTAGATGGCGTTCTTATAACATCGCGTACATAGATTTTGTATTTGTTTCGTTTTATCTTCAGAAAAATTGGCATTTCTTTTCTCCCACATCTGCTCTTATAGCATATCTGATGGTTTATTGCAGGATCTACTTTTCATTCGCTTAAAAAAATAAATACAAAAACTTTGGAACATAAATGACGAATACTCCCACTATCTCTTAACTTAGAAACTTTTCTTAAAGGATTTCGATCCATTAACGACGTTTTTTGAATATTTTGGGACCTTTTCGTATGTTTGCTGAGTTTTCAGACCGATCATTTTTTATTAGAACTAAGCATGAGACAAAGAAAGAAAAAACTAATATCTATTTTAAAATATAGATGGCGTTCCATGTGCAAATAGCAAAGTTAATGGAAGTATTCAGGATCTAATATTCACTCGCTCAGTTTTGAGACCTATTATCTGCTATATAAAGAATATTTAAATGGAAATGTAGATGGCGTTCTATTTCACAAAATTTTCAAACATTTTTTGTATGTTTCGTTGTATTTTTGATATAAATTTCTTTCTCAGATTTCCTCTTCATCTTTTTTTCCTAAAAGTAGGCACCAATAATGGAAGTATTCAGGATCTAATATTCATTCGCTAAGTTTTAGGACCTATGATCTGCTGTATAAAGAATATTTAAATGGAAATGTAGATGGCGTTCTATTTCACAAAATTTTCAAACATTTTTTGTATGTTTCGTTATATTTTTGATATAAATTTCTTTCAGAGATCCCCACTTTCTTTTTTTTCCTAAAACTAGGCACCAGAATCATATTTTTTTTAATATTCATTCGTTTAGTTTTGAGACTTTTTATATGCTATATAAAGAATATTTAAGGCGGAATATAGATGGCATTCCATTTCACCAAGTCTTCAAACATTTTTGTACATTTCGTTTTCTCCCTATCATAAACTTCTTTCACAGATCTCTTCTATTTTCTTCTAAAGGTAGGCACCAAAATTAAATTTTTTCCCCACTAAATTGAAATTGGTGATATTTTAAATGGTTCACAGATATGTTTCAGAAATGGTCACGTTCATAATATTTTTCTAGCGAGTTATCAAGTCACAAATAAAAAACCCGTACATTGCAATAGCTTGAAAATTGCAAAATAGAAGTGTATCTCTTCTCCATTTTCCCATGCATATAAAAAGGGAAGATTTGGAAGGCCCTGAAAACCAAACAAACACCATCTACACAATGGTTCCACACATATATCTCCATTTTATGATGTGTCAATTTATAACAAAAGGTATTTGTTGGCCATCAACACCAAGACCACATCCCGCCAACATGGTGGCTGATAGCTGCACACCACCACCACATAGAGGCAATTGAAGCATGGGCATAAAAAATCGAATATGCCAAAAACAAAAAAAATGTGTGTTCGAAAAAAATGGCAATCAATAAATTTTAAACTTTAAAAGGCATTTGTCGTGCACATACATGCCCAGCATCTATAACCTAGCTCAGGTGGTTTGGCACAAAGCAAAAAAAATAAAATAACAAGGAAGCGGAAGTCATGTAAAGCATGTTGAACTAGCAAGCCAGTAACAGTAACCCATAGCAGCAGTGGCGGCAGTGGCAGCATATTGATGGCAACCATAATTCTCGGCAACAAATTTGTTTGAGTGTCGGTGTGTCTATGTCAAAAGCTTTTTACAACATTTTGCATAAATTGTTTGCGGCCAAATGTTCATATCAAAGAGTCGTGGGACGGGGCAGCTTGGGGGGATGTATGGCAGTGAAAAATTGAACGATTTTCTGATGTCTTTCTCGCCACGCTATCCTTTTTTTCTCGTCGCTACCTTAAAATCTGCCATAAATATTTAAGTCACGTTTTGTATTAGACACATAAAATGATACCTGAATGGAGAAAGGATATGCTCAAAATAGGTGACAACGAACGGGGGAAAAATACGATTTTTTTTTTGGCACAAAAGGAAGGATATTATAATTTTGTGTTCGGGCAAAGCAGGAGAAATAGCTCCACAAAAATGTAGCAGAAATTGGAGAGAAGAAATCTTTCGGGTGAGGGTGGTTGGAAGATAAAATAACTTTAAAGTTATTGATGATTTGGGAAGTTTGAAAAAGGGGATAAATCAAAGTTGAAGGGCGATTCCGTTTAAGGATAATAGAGAATGTAAGGACGACTTATTCGTATCAAGGAAAATTAAATACCAAATATGAATAAATCACACATAGAGGGCTCTAAACATGAATACGTATGTATCTATGAAATATAAGTA